CATAATAAGTTTAAAAGAACTCAGGATTTTCCACCAAGCAGTGAGAGAGTAGCACGGACCTACTTCTTTCTCTAGTGTTGGATACCTCGATTGGATACCTCGAAGATCTACTAACTTAATATGCTTTGCTTAACAAAATCATCCTTTAATTAAACTCCTAAGGACCCACCACGATATCATATAGAGTTAGGAAAACTACCAAAACCTAACTTTTTGCCTTTATATAATTTGCCCTGACATGCATTTTGAGTTTCAGGTGGTGGAACGAGAAGACTCGCAAGGTACGCTTTTTACAGTTCTCAGCGTTATCTTTCTTGTACTTTTATACTATACTTTTGTACCTGTAAATTTGCTTGCTAAACAATGGCGCTACCCTGCATGAAAACTAAAACTATCAGGATAGCCAAAAAACCAAAACCAAAACTAAAATCAATCAAAATAAATTTCACCACGACAACATTTAAAATATAAAACAACTCAAAATTTAATCACAAATATCACACAAAACTACAATTGCACTACGCCTCTATCGGATGCTTGGGAATTCCTCGGAGGAGATAACCTACGGTTACTAACGAGGCTTCCCAAGGTCTAAATAAAATTATGGAACTCATTAAGTTGAGTTTAGAAAGTTCATTTAAATTAAGTGAATACAATAGAAAATAATGGTGTCGGAACGAGGGAACCGTAGGATCCTAACCGGTGTCGCTCTAATCAACTTTACCATGCCCCCATAAAATTTAAAGAACTTCAACCATAAGGTCACCTGATTTGACATTATAACTTAACACACTAGAAAACTCAAACTCGTCACAGCAAGGAGCTTGGAGCTAGCATGGTGGGCAGCACGACCATCTTCAACAGTAAAACCTATCTTCCCCAGCTAAGCCAATCTTCCTTCCTTAGACTTAAATAACAAAGCCATAGGACTTTGAGGTTGCTTGATTATGCAACGTAAATCCTCACCTTATCTTTAGGCTTTTGCATAGCCCTGCTATACAATATAAGTCATAACTCATCTTAGGATTTCAAGGTTGTCGTTTGTCACGACCTAAGTCCTCACACCTTCCAGGCTATTTGTTTGATAATTTCACATGAATGTAAGCCCTAACAAATAAAATTGACAGGATGAAATACCTAAATATTTCTCCTCAAAATTGAAGCCAAACATTAGGATAGCTTGGGAAGTCACTGAGGTTCTCCTCAGGATCCATGACATCCCCTCGTTCTTCCTCCTTTGGATTCTACAGCAAAATGTTCTAAATTTGAACCAATCCCCTTTCACACCTCTATGTCCAATCTCGTTGAAGAGTCCTACCCTTTGAAACTCCTTGAAGATAATATTTTCTGATTTTTATCGAGAGTCTTCTTTAGGCAATTTCGGTCATTTAAGATGTAATTAACTATAGGGTCTTGCCCTTATAAGAAGCAAGTCTGAACCAATCTTAATATAAATTCTATTTAATTCTTTATATTAAATAGGGGAACTTGTCATCAAAAATAAGGGTTCTGCAGACCAGACGGATGTCATATACTCTTTAGTTTATTTGATCGAGCCTCATCCTTTAGTCTTTTGTTTATCCTTCGGGATAAATACAGGGTTTGAGTTAAAGTGCTCTTTCATTTAAACTATGAAAAATATGAGGTCAGTTTGATTTCATACTTTTCTAAACTTAAGCGTCCTTCCAAAGCGGGTGACGGGATTTCGATTCCGGTGACCTACAGCTTCTTACGGGCAACTCCCCTCTACTAAAATTAGCGCCAACAGTGTCTCATAAAAGATCAAGGGATCAAATTCAACAAGGTTTGGGTTAAGGTTGTGTGAGTGAAAGTGTGTGAAAGTGAGTGAATTAGCTTTATACCAACACCTAGGGTCAATCCTAAGGCCAAGATGTCCTATGAGGATGCCTCGTGAGCTCCCCCATATTGACTCCACCTAGTAAGTGCTAGAGGTTAGGACCAATATTTGGAACTTCAAGTTGAGCAAAGAATGGTATAGAGTTTCTAATGGTGAGGGTTCCTTTTCTAGTCCTCCACAAATAGACGATAGGAAAGTCCTATTGCTAGACCTTGGGCTGTTAGAGTGGAAAGACTAGACCTCAGCCAAAAGTTAGGTCAACAATAGGATGTTATAGTAGTTAGTACATTTAGCTTTTACTTTTTCTTACCTCTACATTTTATTGAATTGATTACAAAATATTTAAAAATTTAAGTTTGGGGGAGGAAGAAAAAATAAATTTTAAAGTTAAAATTTATTTGTCCTCAAAGAGACTATAAATTAATTCTATTTGATTTTTCTTATGTGGAGTTATTTTTAGATTATCAAAATTTTAAGTATAGAAATGCAATAGGAAAACCTAGTAAGGACATTAGTAAAAAGGATGAAATTAAAGTTAAGATGTTTAGTAGAAAGTAGTAAGAAAATTATTTTACTATTTATAGTAGAAAAAAATGAATTTATGAAAAATTAAGAATTTTTAGAATAATAATTTTTAAATAATTTAGACTCCATTAAAATTTTTTTTCTAATACTGCATTTTAAGTTAAGGAAAGAAAATAAGTTTTTAACTTCAAAAAAGGGATAGTGAAATTCAAAATCATTAAAGGCTTATCCAGATATAGTATTCCTCACCTAGAAAAAACTAAATAAAAGAAAATTAAAAAGAAAAAAAAAGGAAAAGAAAGAAGAAGAAAAAGAAGAAAAAAAGTTAAGGAAATATAAAGAAAGATATGGAAAAGCGAGGAGAATCTTGAGGATTATAACCTAATTAAAAATTGATTTCACTTGAATCTTTCTGAGAAAGAAAATGTAAGATCAATCCTAAGCTTAATTTCAAAAAGTATTTTTAAAATTATTTTTTCTAGATGTCATAAATTCTGAAATAAATATTTTCTAAGATTCCAAAGTTTGGAAAATTTTTAATAATTTCTAAATTAAATAGAAAATCAGGATTCCCATAGTTTAATACTAAATATTCTGATACCTTAGATATCATTTAATTTACTATAAATTCTTCTAAGTTGGACTATAGCATTTATAGAACAAAATTTTAGTAAATCTTAAAGAAACCCCCTCACATAAATCAACATGTTGTAAAAGTTCTAGTGTTATTTGAGGAAAAGTAACGTTTAAGTTTGGGGGTATTGATGCACCTAAAAATTTCCTGTTTTTATAGTACATTTCATGCTCATTTTAAGCACATTTTTAATGATATTACACCTTAAAAGAAGGTATTTTGTATATTTTTGTCTTCAGGTACAAGAAATGGACTTTTGGTTAAAAAAGGAAAAATGGTGTAATTTAGAGTAAAAACAAGCAAGAAAGAAAATTCTGACCAGGCATATTTTGATATGTCAATCTATGCTTAATCTCCAATGCATCTCTCACATATTTTTGAAAGAAATTACACTTTAAAGAAAGGTTATTTTCATGCTTATCTTGTAAGTATATCAGTTAGGAGCGAAACACAACTGAAATGGGGTGAAACAGAACTGAAATGGGGCTTAAACGGAATTGCGGACACTTTAGAGAAGTGTATATCTACCACCACTAGAAAGAAAATATTTTTCCCAGCTAGATATTCTCTCTCTTTTTTTTATTTGAAATCATCAAACACATGCAATCTCTTCATGTCTATGCTTGACTGAATCCCAAGATACTTTATAGGCAAATTACTTATGCTAAAACTAGTTAACTGTGAGCTTATAACTTCTTTTCTTGACTAACCTGTTTGCTGACAGAAAAGGTGAAAATTTATGTGTAAAATTCCATACCTAAAATAGATTGTAAATGAGTAAATAGTATGTAGATTTTTCAGTTATTTGTTTTCCCCATATTGTAAAAGATGATAAAATCATCAACATATGCTAAATGTGAGATTAATATACATATATATATATATATATATATCCTTATACTGTAAACACATATATCTATATACATACATATATATATATATATATATGTATATAGATATATGTGTTTACAGTATAAAGATATATATATATATATA